CATATTAAAATTAAAGTCAGAATGACTGAGAAGGGGGTAAGAAATGGGGCCTTCTCGTCCCCTGGTTGTATGAGTTCCGCAGACACACACATTTTAAACCTGAGCACAATTCCGTCCAAAATGCATCTCCTGGCCTCCAGGCATCCAAAGCTCCTGATTTCATATTCATAATAAAGAAAGTAATTGGGCGACTGTATCTCCCTGATCCTTTCAGGCGTAGTGCTGATGTAAGGGAGGGGGGCGCGGGAGGGGGCTACAGATCCTCCTATGATCCTCTGGTTGCTGCCGGCTGTGGCTGGAAACTTTGCTCTATCATCCTTCTCCGGGCTCTTTCCTTTGGAAGGTTCCCTGCGCGAAAGAGAGTAGCACCGCGTTCCCATATATGCCTACTCAAAAGCAAAGCAAAAAGAAAAGGTCTCCCCAGATCAGTGGGCCCGGCGGATGGCCGCCTCAAATAGCGATATGGGTGTGGATGATTTCCAGAGGCATAACTAGGGGAATCTGTTGCGCAACAACATCAACCCAAAGCCTTCGGTCCTTTAAAGACTCCCAAGGTTTATTTGGGATCGGTTTCCGGGGACTGCAGCCTCCTTCTTCGGCTGCAGTGGCCGCAAGAAGCAGCAGGCGATTTGGAAGGTTTCTGTAGGACGCCTTTCTCCTGCCTAGCACCACCCGGAGAAAGACGGCTGTCGCAAATCGCCAGACGCCTTGCACAGAGCGAAGAGGGCAGTCTTTGGGGCATCGATGGGGGGAAAAATGGGGAGGAACAGGAGGTCTGCCCTTAAACCGTTGCCCTGTATCTCCAGCTCGCCACCGCTGCTGCTAAACTTGGGGAATTTTAACTGCCCAAAATTGTGGGGAGGAAAATAAATTTGCGATTGAGGAGGGGGGGGGAAAGAAAGACAGGTAATAAAAGAGGGGAGAGGAGAACTCGAATACAGATCCCTGGAGGACTCATACGTCTCTTTTCCATTTCCCGACGGTGCCCGGCTCTCAGGAGCGCCGAAAGGAAGAAGT